TGACATGAGTATCTTGATTGTCGTAAGAGCTTTGGGGATATTAAGAACAGGTTGTATGTGAGTGTAGTAGGGGCAGACTTTGTCTTTGCTTGCTCCACTAATTAAAGAGCGGTCCCTAATCACATATTCTGTGCCTCGGGTAGTGGAGGTAGAGGGATAATTTAGGATGTGCCTACTGTTTAGATCCAGAGGGAAAATAGGAGGCAGGTAACGGAGAAACCAAATGTCACCCCAAATTAAAGGGTGGAGTATACTTGGAGGCTCAGCCAAAGGTCAAAAAAATAAGCAACCTTAAGACAAGGAGTAAGAGAGGATTGTAGTAAGACAAGGTGGAAGTAAGAACCAGAGCTAGGCAAAATGATTTGAGAACAACAAACTACTACCAGTTTGGTACATTGAGCAACACTGTTGCTGGGATGGTCTGATTTACTCTGATATTAAATATGTGTCAATTTGGCTTCTCCTCTGTTTAGGCAGGTTTATCTTTCCCTTAGTTTCCTAGGAGACGGATTAGCTCTGTGCCTTAAAACTGAAGGAGCCAAAGAAACACCAAATTGAATGCAAATTGCCAATAGAGAATGGATGGAGAATGGGAGGATGTATCTGGAGGAAGCGTACCACAAGATGGGAGCAGTAGCTTTTACACCAGTTTGTATTATGCAATATGATCACTGTCCTTTAGACCTCCTAATTGGAAAAAAAACATATATTGTCTTGGAGAAATTTGTCAGATAAGTAAAGATTGGGGTGAGCAATGTTATTGCTTTCTGGGGGCTTATGTCCCATTAGGAGTGTGCTGCTGCAAAATGGCTGTTCCTAGGATGAGGTTTATGTGCCAGCTGGAACCGCTGATTTCCTTTGAAACTCCTGGTTTTGTAATTAATCATGGCAAAAAAAAAAAAAAGTTTCTTCCCATATGAACTTCTGGCTTGCTGAGCTCTGAGGTGAGCCAAGTAGGTTATTTTCTTCAGCGTCTGCATTTTTTCCTAATTACATTGTGCCAGTTGTTGCCACGCAGTTTTATGTACCTGCGCTTCCAAATTCCTAAGTTCCATGTTCTGGAAAAGTTCAGCAGCGCTTCTTGGGGAGCTTCTCTTGGGACTGCCTTGTATCTATGAGGGAATAATATTCTTGTGCCAAATACGGCCCTTTATGTAAACTTTTTTTTTCTATACCACATTTCAAGCACTTTCTAATCTAATTTGGTTTCAGGAAATAAAGGGTAGTGCTGTGTGACTGAGCTGCCATGCTTTGCCAGACAGTAGCTGATGGGTGAACTAGAGCTCTCATTGCTGACACTCTTCTGTGCAAACTGAGAAACCATGGGTTTGCCTATCCTGAAAACATAAAGCTTCCTTTAACACACAGTCTCCTAAGCAAGCTGTCACTCCTTAATGGTGAACGTTTTACATTTAATGCAGCCCATATTATTCTGGGAAATCTTAGTAAGTCTCTGGTTGGCTAATTCCTGAATCCATGTGGTCGGGCGTGGGAGGAGAAGCAAGATCCTCTCTTAGGATGAGATAAGTGGGATCTACCAGCATAGATCACAAGTCCTGGTGTCCCCTAGAAGTGCTGTGTCCCACTGCAGACAACTGTTGTGTCACTTTGAACTTCCAGACGCCAGCTCCTGCATAGATGCACGGCCTGGCACAAGGCAGGGGATTGCTCTGAATGCCATCAGCACCAATGGTGATTAAAAGAAAATTAGAAATCATGTACCCAAACTTTTGCAAGTGTATGATGAAAGGATCCCAAAGAATACAATAAACTTTGTCCCTGCTGTGTCTGTTTTCCAGCAGGAGAAGCTGCAGGGTCACCGCAGCGGGATGATCAGATGGCTCTCGTAGTGGGTGGAAGGAACCCACGCAGCAGCAGAGGATGTCGCAGCAGCAGGTATGAGACGTGCTGTATTACGGCTGCAGTTTCGAGTCCCTCGCCTGTTTTGAATTGATTTGTCGGTACTTGACTGACTTGCTCTCCTTGGGCTCCTTGTATTCATTTACATGCTCTGTTAGGATGTTGGCAGTGCTGGATGTCGGTGATTTCTTTTAAGGGCTCTCTTTCTTTCTGGTATATTGATGATTCATACTATTAGGAGAGGCTTCCTGCCTTTCCATGACTTAGTGAAAATGATCTATTTCATAATGTCTCCTTACTCTTAGCAGGGCTTGTGCTCTGTTCCCAAAACTCCCACTGTTTTCACTGCAAGCATG